ATTTTTATTCACTGCTTTTTGCTTTCTTTCCTTCACTTCCACCAGCACTTTTACTTGATAGAGGTTGCTTGGTAAAATATCTATCCAAAGAGGTTTGGCTTTGCCTACTTTTTAAAATGTTTCTAAAATGATTTAGGCAAATGTCATTACTCTGAATAGCAATATGGCCAGTGTGAACCTTTTCGGGATGTTTCTTTTCAATAAAATCAGTCACTTTCTGATAATACCTCAAGATTTCCTTTATCGAGGAGATTCTTCCACGACGAAGCAAACACGCGAACTGAGACCAATGAACAGAAGTGAATAAAAAATGGCGCTGCGAACTAATGTAACGTCGTATGGTGAGTTTTTGTTCATATCGTGGAACAAAAATATGTTCGAATTTCATGTCGTATCCTGAGGTACCACTGTATATGTAATTTTAGTCAGTTTTTGAATGATGTGACTTATCTAATTGTTATAGTAATTAAACAAGGACAAGATTAGATAAATTTAAGATAAGTTTTTATTGATACATTAGCTGTTATAAACAAAATGAAATAAATAAAAACAATAACCCTCCAAAATGAGATAAATAGAAATTAAGATATTTTGTACTCAAATTTAGATACAGTAGGGCATCGATTATCTGACCCCCAATCAACCGTCACATCGGTTAACCAACAGCGTTCTAGTTGGCAAATTCAAATGTCCACTAGTGATGTGGTGCTACAAAATTTGGCTATGTCTTGGCTACTTTAATGTTATTTTTGTTAAATTTTTGCGTGTTTTAGCTGGCAACACTGGCTCGACCATGAGAAGGAGGCCAGTATTTAAATGAAGTTTAATTTTCTAATTATGAGTGGTTGTTTGTTTTGTGAGCAATAAAATAATTTAAAAATAATTTTTAATGATACAATAGTGACGATTATTATTTTAAAAAATTTTTGTTAGGCTTAACATCAATGAAAATTCAACACGAAGTAGATTAATAGCAATATACTAATTACATGGGATACACTAATATACTATACTAATAATATATTTTTTCATACTTTTCGATTATCTGTTTTTTCAGTTATCCGACCAACTCCAGTCCCCAATTGAGTCGGATAATTGATGCTTTACTGTATATACAAATTTATAAAAGAAAGTCTTTGTGACATAATTTATGTTAAAAGCATTGAAAATTTTTTACTTTTGGACTATTTTTTAAAATTTAAACAACAATGTAAAAGAAAATCATATGTAGTTTAGTCTATTATGATTATTATTTTTTTAAATGTTGTTTTTATGCTTTTAAATTGATTTATTTTTATTGTTATTAAGGGAAAGGCTTATTGTGCCCATTGGGTATTGTCTTATGTCTTTTGTAAAAAAATAATAAAGAATATTTGAAAATGGAAAGATAAAAATATAATTGTTTGTTTATGATGATGATAAACATTAGAAGATTTTTAGGAAAGATCTCCAAATTGAAAAAATTTTATTCAATTCTGTTTGTTCCTGCTAAATTCAACAGTATTATATACTTTTAGATCTAGTTTTATTCATTGGTGTTGTCTTTGAATTATTCATTTAAATTTTTATATCAGTTATGTAGGTCTACATTAAATTAATGTAATTTTTTTCAGCTGATCTCTTATTGAAATTATATTTGATTTTAAATTGCATAATTTGAATTATGTCAACAGTATCATTGTTATATTTGATCTATTTTATATTGTAATGCTAATTAGATTTGCTGATTTTTGATATAGATTTTAAAATATATATACATATATGNATTTAATTTTGTAAATTTAAAAGTGCTTCAAATATGACGTTAAAACAGGGTTTTATGTCGTTACAAGTGGGTTTTTTAACATTATCTAGTATAGTAAAATCGTGGGACCGATAAAAATTTGACGTTATATTAGGGTTGTCGTTACATCCGATGTCGTTATAATCGGGTTAAACTGTATATAGATATTTAAGCTTCTTTTATTTGTTTGGATTTCTCTCTCTACTTCTTTCCTTCCTCCTCTGATAGGAAGAGTCAAGAGGATAAGTCTATCTTCTAGATTTACTACATTTTTGAGATATTGGGTGTCTTAAATGTGGTCTCTGTAGAGATTTTTCACTCATTCTCTGCAGATAATTCTGATCTTTTACAAAAACATTTATCAAATTATTATTCAGTTTCTGGTTACTTCTGCATTTTTTATTCTTAAAAAGATTATATTGAGATTTGTTGTGTAACAATTTAACTATTTCTACATACAAAGTTTTCTTAAATCTAATGTGCAACTGATTTTTGAAATGTTGAAACTTGAATAAAATTTGCTTGCAGATGTAATGCATACCCTATATCACCGAAAACAATGTATTTAAATATGAATTAATGCATTTTTAAAAAATTTTGTTTTCATGTTTATAATGCTTCACAATGTCTACATTTTCAATTGTATTCCTTTATGACTCCATTATTAGGTACAGAGGATCAGTGGATCAGTGCAAAATTACAGTCAAAATTACTGCATGAACAACTTTTTTTAACAGTAAGATTTGTGTTGGCATGCACAAGCATGAATTTACCAGATACATATTGTCACACTGAAATCTTTGTATGTGTGTTCTTCAGCATAGTAGATAACTTCACTTAAACATAGATTTATAGGAGGCTTGTCAGCTGGCCATCATTCACTTGGCTTGCTGCATAAGACTACCAAACTGTTAAAAATCCAAAATAATGGGCAGAATGTGTACTATGTATGTACTGATGATATAATACACATGAATCGCCAAGAGAGTGAAGAGTAGGTGGGAACAAGGTTGCATTAAGTTAACTTTTTGTCTGATTCTAATGTGTGCCCCAATTTTTAGACTGGAAAAATAAGAAAAAAGAACATTAGAATTGAGAAAACATGGTAATTAGATGACTTTCTCTCAAAAAATAAATCATATAATTACTTGTATTATTTCATTAGTTATTAGATGTAAGTGAAATATATGTAAGCTGTTTTGTGTTTTCTTTTTTTTCAAGCTCCGATTGTCCATAAAAAAAAAGGCAAGTGTAAATAACAAATTGAATTTATTACCAAAGTTAGGTACAAACATGGTTACTTTTCAACATAATTACCGTGAAGATTGAGGCATTTGTCATATCTGTGAGCGAGCTTTTTCATCCCCTTGTCATAGAATGTTGCTGCCAATGACTTGAGATGGGTCCTAACGTTTTGAAGATTGTCATTAGTCGCAAACCTCTGCCCTCCTAGCCATTTTTTCTGTTCAGGAAAAAAGTGAAAGTTGCTCAGCGCTAAATCAGGGTGTTTAACGCTAGGTGTTTAAAAGTGTGAAGACTTCCACCCAGCTTGGAACTTTTTAATGTGTGAAGACTTCCACCTCTTTCCTGAACTGAAAACATGACTAGCAGGGCAGAGGTTTGAGACTAATGACGACCTTCAAAATGTTGTTAAGGCCATGTCAATTCACTGACGGCAACATTCTATGACAAGGGATGGAAAAGCTCGTCCATATATATGACAAATTCCTCAATCTTCGCATTGATAATGTCGAAAAGTAACCATGTTTGTACCTAACTTTTGGTAAATTCATTTTGTTATTTACATTTGTCTTTGTTTTATGGAACATCAGAGCTTGAAAAAAAACTGCCCTCATAGATAAATTCACTGCATTATAAAGATTAAATGCAGTTTCAAAAACTCATAAATGATTAAGTGTAAATTACTTTTTTAGTTAAATAAAATAGCTTGAATCATATTCATTGCTTTATGACTTGTGTTCAAATTTTCGTAAATAGTATTTTATAAATTACTGATTTTTTTCACAAGTATTACTTGAAATAAGCTAACAGCAAGTTTCTTTGACTCCTTAATTTTATTAGAAAAAGGTATATGATTTTGAAGTCAAGGGACTTTAGTTCATCAAGTGTTTTCAAACTTTCAAAATAAAAAAAATGTTTATTTTTAACCCATTGGAAGTTAATTCTTTTATATATACTGCATATTTTAGATGTTGTTTAAAATTATACATTCTAGATTTTTTTCTTTTCTCTGGCTAAAATTGATTTTGAAGTTTTTGAATAGCATGTTTATTTCAACTTTGACATGAAGCAGCACTGTGACAGAATATGACATGTGATGCAAAATATGGGGTTATAACAGAAAAGTACCTGAAAAGCAAATCCCAATAAAAATGAATGAGGTTATCTTATTTTTGCTCATTAACGTGCTACACTAAGTTAATATTATTTAATGAAATTAAACCACAGGATTTGGATAAATTTAGTTTGTCTAAATTTTATTCTTAATCTTCATATGTCAACATTCTTCAAGGTTTGAACCTTGAAGAATGTTGACATATATGCAAGTATATATGAGTATAATTGATTAACTATATATTAATTTGGATTTTAGTTTTAATGTTATATTTTATAGTATCATAGACGGGTGGGTGTGTCAAGAGTCTGATGTCTTAAATTATTGCTTCTTTGCAAAATAAATATATTAAATTTTTTATTATTATATAGCTACATAGGAATGGAAAATTAATATTTGCTCTGGCTCGATGTTTGAAGAGCATAAAAAAGGAAAATGTGAACATTTGCCTTTTTATGCTTTTCAAATGCATATGCCTGTTTGCATATTTATTCCTATATAGCTATGTGCTAATAAAAAATCTCATACATATAGTTTGTTTTATTTTGCAATGAAGTGATAATTTAAGACATCAGACTCTTGACACACTCACTTTATTTCAACAAACGGAAAGGAAATTAATATGTTTATTATCTAATGGTTATTTATTATATTAAATGTTTTATATATATATATATATATACAAACAAACAAACAAACAAACACAGAGATGCTGATAATATAAACGTTAATCATAGGACTTCTTACCATTTATAGTTAATTTTATCAAAGTACTTTAAATGTACTTTGATGAAAATTACAATATCATTAATGCACTGTTCTATTTTGTACTGATATGATATTCATTAATTTTTTTTCTAGGTATATTGTTTCTCTTTTTAAACGTGTATATTCTTTTGTGGCTATAATAACACTTATAATATTTGGATATAAAATGGGTATCAGTAAAATTTGGCAAGAGATTAGAGGTAAGTTTAACTTCCTATTGAAATATCATTAAGTTTTGTAACAAATAATTACATTTTTGAAATTTTATGCAAATTTAGGTGATTTCTAATATACAATTTATTTGTTAATAATTATTATTTTTAAAATTTTAAGCAAAGTTCCCAAAATAATTGATTGCAAATGATTTCTATTTATTTATTTAAAATCTTGAAGACAATGCAAAAAAATAAATAGTAACAGTTAAATGTAAATTACTTGTTTGAGTAAATGACATGAATAAAACAGTAAAAGGATAACAAAAATTCAATAGTTTAAACACATACATAACTTTTTATTTTTGATATGTATGTACAGTAGAGCGTCGATTTTCCGAATCAATTGGGGACTGGGGTTGTTTGTATAACTGATATTTCGGATAACCGATTTATGTACGAAAAACTAGTTAAACGTATCCGATGTTGAAATTTTACTCCATTGCGTGTCGCTTCGCGTTGAATTTTCGTCGATGTTAAGCCTAACAAAGACTATTGTATCGTTAAAAATTATTTTTTTATTTTGTACAAACAAAATAAATATACTGAAAAATATAAAAACAACAAAAAAAATATACTTCAGATGTTAATTTAGTATCAAAAACGTAAAATATTTGAGTAGCCCAAGACATAGCCAAAGATTGAAGCGCCACAGCACTGGCGAAAATTTAAATTTGCCAACTGGAATTCTTTCGGATGATTGACTTTCGGAAAATCGACGCTCTACTGTATTTATTTATGTAGAAAATCTACATAAATAAATAAATCTTCATAAATTTTTGCCATTTATAAGCTGATTAGAATACTTAAATGATCAACAAAGGCAAAAGTATTTATTTGCATAATTTTTATTACACACACCTGTGCATGTGTGTGCATACAGTAGAGCATCGATTATCCGACTCAGTTGGGGACTGGGGTTGGTCAGATAACCAAAAAGTATGAAAAAATACATTATTAGTATAGTATATTAGTATATCCCATATGATTAGTATATTAGTATATCACTATTAACCTACTTCGTGTTGAATTTTCATCAATGTTAAGCCTAACAAAATTTTTTTAAAATAATAATCGTTGCTATTGTATCGTTAAAAATTATTTTTAAATTATTTTATTGCTCACAAAACAAACAACCACTCATAATTAGAAAATTAAGCCTTGTTTAAATACTGACCTCCCTTTTATGGTTGAGCCAGTGTTGCCAGCTAAAACACACAAAAATTTAACAAAAATAATATTAAAGTAGCCAAGATATAGCCAAATATTGTAGCGCCACATCACTAGCAGACATTTGAATTTGCTGACTAGAACGCGGTCGGTTAACCGATGTGACGGTTGATCAGAGGTTGGATAATTGATGCTCTATTGTATATGTATAAATTATTGTCAATATACAGTATAGAATTGAATATTCAAAATAATCAGGACAGGACAATTTTGGATTGCTGATCACACTTGGTAAGGAATGAATAAAAAGATTAATATTTTTTACTGAAGATATTTAAATTTAATTGTACTATAGTATAAGATTAATACATATAAATAATAGACAATTTTTTATTATTTTTTAATTTATTAAAAACAAGCATTAATCTTTCATTGCAAGCTAAAATATACTGATGAAAGTTTTGAATTCAAAACAAAATATAGGGGAGAGCGGGGCTACAAGTTTTTTATTCAACCTCATAATTTGTTAATGAAACTTAATTCTAGCATAAGTATTGAGATATTAAAATTTACTAATATATCTAACTTTGCTATTAAGACAGTTTTTGGGGTTGTTTTTTGGTAAGATTTTTTATAATTAATAATACAATACCTAAAGTCAGAAAGTAACAACTTACCCCGATTCGGGGCTAGTTGTTAACAGGGTGGGGCAAGTTGTTACGAGATCTATGGAAGGTGTAATATGTAAAAAAAAAAAAAAATTTATTTAACTAAGTACGTATTTAAGGACTAATCAATAATATCTTATGAATAATTAGTTGTTTTTCTTAAATTTATTATAAACTAAACATTTTTACATTTTAACATTTATAATTTTTACTTAAAGATTGAAACATTAACCATTATATTAGCTTAAGTAGCTAATCAGCCTTGAAATTATCAATTATCAGTCTTCAATCATATCAGAAAGTCGTCTTTGACTGAAAATAATATTATATTTATAAATCATCACAAGATTCATCAGAACCGCAATTCGGACAAAAGTATGTTAACATGTCACGATATTTTCTACATCTGGAATGGGCCCAGTTCTTACATTCTTGACACTGGATCCATTCTTCACCAGAACGTGAGTTAGAGTAACGGTCACAGCAGACTAAACAATAATACTCTAAACTATCCTCTTCATTCTCAGAACTTTCACTGCTCATTTGTACAACCTGTCGTTTAATGGACTTCCTCTTTCCTTTTCCTTTTAGCGTTCTCTTGTCGTTCCCTTTTATTTTATTCCCTTGATTTCTCTTTACCCTTCCCTTTCCTTTATTTTTTCTTACTTCTTCATTATCAATGCTTACCTTCCTTTTTTTGCTTTGCTCTTCTGCCAGGGCTTGTTTCTCAGGAGTGTCTGTTAAAATTGCGGATTTTCTACGACATCTCTTGGTCGTTCCACTCCGTGGTGGTGCCTTTGGAAAGGGACGAATTGCTTCTGGGGAGAAAGGAACATCCTTTCCAAGTCCTTGTACAACACCAGAAGTTGTAGACAAATTTACAACTCCTGATGGCCCTGGTTGATCCAAGATTTGTCTTTCGTCAATAATGCTTACAGTTTCACGTGCATTGTTGGATTTATCTATACTAGTTTCTGCCTCTGAAACTTCCATATCAATTATATCAATATCATTTATAGGTGTGATGCCTGCAGAGACACTCTCATGCGTTGGAGCCAAAGGGCGATCTGTGACGAAAGATGGAGCAAAGTCGTCTTCAGTGAAAATATTAGGATCATATGGCCAAATGCCAGCCTTTTTAAAAGAGCTCATTATATTGATAGGAGTTGCTGCAATTGGCAACGCATATTTTACGATTTCAGGGATCTCATATATTGACATTGTCTTGCCAGGGTTGCTGCGTAGCCAGTTGTCTTGAGCCTTTGCACAATAATTTTTAAACGGTGCATTCACTCCAACGTCCAATGGTTGCAGACGGTGTGTACAATGAGGCGGGAATGACAGCATTACAATGGAGTTAGATTTCGCTTTTTCTACCACATTGATATCGACGTGAGATTGGTGATTATCAAGCAATAACAAAACTGGATCTGAAGGTGATGGTCTGGTGTGTTTGATGAAGTGATCCATATATATGAGGAACTCCGTAGCTGTCATCCATCCAGAGCTATTTCCTGCACCAATGGATTCCGGTGGTCCGCCTTTGATAAATAAATCCTTGTATTTAAGTCGAGGGAAAATAAACATTGGAGGAACTGTGTGTCCTAATGCATTTGCTGCCAGTTCTACGGTGACTAATGAACCTCGTTCTGCAGATACTATAGCTCCAACTTGCTTAGTTCCTTTTTTGGCAATAATTTTCTTTGGCTTTAGCACTGTCGTAACGCCAGTTTCATCTAAATTATATATTCTCGAGGGCGGAAATTTATATTTATCCAACACTGTGCCTAGCTTTGTAAAAAATTCGTTAATATTGTGCTTATTAAAAGATGATGCTCTGCTAGCACTTGTCGATTCCGGGGCTCTAATCGAGAGTTGAGGGTTTCTCTTTAAAAAACCAGTCAGCCAATCTGGACCAGCTTTTTTATTCTCATGCCAAGATGGTGGAATATCAGAGGCGTTGAATTTCTGTGCACATTCATATGCTAATTTTCGCACTTCCTCTGGTAGAAGACCAAAGAAAATTGTTGCACATTTTAACAAATATTCTGCTAACTTGTTTTCCTGTTCTTCACTAAAGACCAATCTTACTTTTTTGTAGCCAACCACAGCGTTTTCTACTCCAGATTTCAACTTCTTTACAAATCTGTATAACGTCATATGACAAATATCTAATTCTCTGGCAACAGTTTTTATTTTTTTACCATCTTTAATAACTGCATCTGCAGCTCTTTGCATCAACTCCTGAGATACAGAACCTCGTGTTGTTTTTCGAATATAAGTCCGCATACTGCAAAAGAAAAAAAAATATTACTGTATTTTTACTGCATTGCCAGTACAGATGAACTGGGGCAAGTTGTTCCAAGGTCACAACATACCCCCAAAGAAGGGAACATCTAGCCCCAATAACACATGGGTTCAAAACAGCAACTACTAGATTAGGTTACGAGACATACACGGTTTTAGCGTTTATATCAAGATACCATATATATTTTTGAATAAAAATACCAAACAACTAATCGCTAATTATTTAAATTCGCCAGATATACCAAAAATATCAAACACGAAAATATTTACTTACGTGGATCAGCGACGTACAGGCTCCTTTTCCAATGTACTGGACGTTACTGGCCTAACTAAGATGGCTGCCGTCGATGCGCAGAAACATTCGATTTCATGACGTATTTACTAATTATTATTATTATTTTTCCTTATGAAGCTATTTCAATCGGAACAACTTACCACGGGAACTTTTAGCCCCGCTCTCCCCTACTTAATAGTAAGATTAATCTTAATTATTAGATTATTATTATTATTTTTTTTTTAATGTTACTTATTTTTATGTAGCTTTTCCTTTTAAATTTGCTAAATTGCTTGTTTGCTTGATCATTACTGTTATGAAGGTTGAAAAATTGGTTCAGGAAGCATTTGATGCATAAGAAGCCTGTGACTCATTAATCATGCTTTTCTATTTGTACTGTAATAAATAAAACCTAACAATAATGTTGATAATCAGCTAGCTTGATAGAAAGCCCACAGAAGATCACTGATATTAATTACATAAAAACTTTGTACTTACTGGAATTAGTATTGTCTAAAATTGGTTTCATTAATTCATTTTTTTTTTTTGATAATGGCTTTGTTAATAAT